CTAGATTCATCATGTAAATCTTTATATCGTTGCTCTTAGATAATTCTTTTTTGTTTTACTAATATAAGCATTAAAAGCTACCTATGGGGACTGGAGTTGTGGCTCATTGGTAGAGCACTTGCATGGCATGTGTGAGGTCCTGGGTTCAATCCCTCAGCACCACACATAAATAAATAAAAGATCCTTGACAACTAAAAAAAAAATATTAAAAAAAAAACTTCCTATGTTCAGGTGCAGTGGCATAGGCCTGTAATCCAGCAGCTCGGAATGTTGAGGCAGGAGGATCACAAGTTCAAAGCTAGTCTCAGCAAAACCAAGGCGTTAAGCAACTCAGTGAAACCCTATCTCTAAATAAAATAAAAAATAGGGCTGGGGATGTGGCTCAGTGGTTGAGTGCCCCTGAATTTAATATCGGTACCCTCTCCCCCCCAAAACTACCTATGGGGGACTGGGGATGTGGCTCAAGTGGTAGCGCGCTCGCCTGGCATGCGTGCGGCCCGGGTTCGATCCTCAGCACCACATGCCAACAAAGATGTTGTGTCCGCCGAGAACTAAAAAAATAAATAAATACTAAAAATTCTCTCTCTCTCTCTCTCCTCTCTCTCTCTTTAAAAAAAAAAGAATTAAAAAAAAAAACTACCTATGTACCTCCAAGCACTGCTTTAACTATAAAATTTCGTTTTTAATCTATACTATCACTCAAGTTAAAAATATTTATAAACTGCTTTTGATTTTACCTCTGGATCATGAATTATTTACAAGTATGCTATTTAATTTCCAAATATTTAGTGTTTTCTTATATATTTTATAGTTACTGATTTTTAATTTACTCCTATGACTTGAGGATATAGTATGTATGATTTCCATCTACTCTACTTATTAAAAATTGACCTTTTCCTCACTATAAAATTCCCTGCTTATTTTTGGTAAAATTCTTTATTTTAAGTTCAATTATATTTAATATTAATATAGCCCTTTTAGCTTTTGTATGTTTACTGGTTAAATGAACTATTTTTCATCATTTTGTTTCAACCTCTTTATTTCTTTAAAATTTCTTTAAACTCTCTTGTAGACAATATAGTCTTTATATTATTCTGATTAGCTCTGCCTTTTGAYTGTAGTGATTAGTTCAGTAACAATTTAATTATTGACAAAGATGAACTTAGTTCTACCATTTTATTATTTATATCTATCCTCTGTGGTTTTTGTTCCTATGTTTCCCTTTCCCAATTTCCTTCAGACTACATTAACATTTCTTACAGTCTCTTTTTAAATTTATGTACTGTCTTTTAGCTATGAATCTTTGTATTTTTTTCTTTATTAATTTTTCTAGGAACTAAAATGAAAACCTGTGTAGCCTTAAATATGAGATTCCTCCCCACTAGGATTCTTGCCATTAAGATGGTTTAAAGGTAAAGATAAAATCCACAGCATTCTTAAGAAACCATGGTCTAAAGACAAAACTTAGGATATATATTTAAAATCTTTAGATTTGATTTCAGAAAAATCCAGAGTAATGCCTCAGAGAACCAAACTGAAGGCTATTAAGAAGCTAAAGGATCTTGTGCCTCAGCAGTTTCAGTAGAAGTCCCCCCAAAAAAGATCTTATAAGAAACAAATAGAGGACACAGAGACTAATCCACAAAGYTACAACTATCTTATATATGATAAAGG